GTCACAGGACCTCCCATACCTCTGCGTTTCTACCTTGCGAAGAGGTAAAGCAGCGCGAGTCTTCAGGTAAGAGTGCTTTGACAGCTGAGGATAGTTACAACATCAAACGTTCAATGGATTAGGACTGGAAGCGGTAAGGTTTGCGTCCCCCTGGGAGAAGAGTCGGATACAGCTCCATGAAGCCACCTTTGGGAAGAAGCCGGAATCGCTGACGCTTTTCATGACTAAAATAACTTATTGTTTCTAAACCCTGTGGTAGGGTAAATTTCATTCACGTCTAACTACAAACTTATTACTCAGATATTTTTTGCAGGGTTCACAGCTCAGCTGTTCCTATGTCTTGGCGCATTCTTCGTCAGCACATTGGTTCATGCTTTCCAAGGTTTTCCCCCACTTCATGGATTTGCCATGATTGGAGGCGTTCTTTGGGCTTCAGGTAAGTCTAATTGGCTTCACTACTGGAATGCTCAAGTCTTAATCGCGCTTTTTTCAGCTAACGCGTTTGCCATTCCAATCATGAATCGATTGGGAATGGCTCTGGCGATTCTTGTATGGAACACTATTTCTTGCCTGACTGGCTGGGCCACGTCAAGGTTGCTCTTTCGAAAAATATTCTCAGTTGAAGTCTACTATAGCGTACCCCTGTTGAAGATATGGCTTGTTTGGACTTCCAGCTGCAGTTCCGGCTAGTCTCATACTCAACTACATCGGCATAGTGGCCTTAATTGCTGGGTAATACATTTTCTTTTCTCTTTTCCTACATATCACCTCGTGACGGTGGTGTAGTGGCAAATAGTGTAGCATTTCATGAGCGTTCAGCGGTGGTCAATTCTGGATCAATCTCGCCTAGACCAACACGACTTTCCAGTCTTTCTTGGGGGTTGGTATATCCGTATCAGACTTGCCCAAGGACGGAACACTGACTTGTACATTTACTGGTTGCCTAAAAGCAGCGATTACGATGGTTCTATGGCGTTGCTATTTTGATTATGTCATTCAAAGTCGGGTGAAGTAGCCCCTCAATAGGAGTGTAGTGGGACCGCCTCTTTACGTCCATCTACAAGTGATCTTCAAGAAAGTCATTAAAACCCCTACACTCTCAGCCATTGAAAATCGATACCTTAAAGGAATCTTCCACGGAAAGAGTGATCATTTTGTCTTGTGTGTAGGATTAGTATTATCGAAACTAACGCTTATGTTCCGTTCTTTTTTGCTATGCTC